GGACCTGTCTTTATTTGCGAAAAACTGAACAAGGTGCTGATTTACAGCCTCATCTGAATTGAACGTTATACCACGCAAAGAGTTTTGAAGAGAGCGAAACAAGTGGAAGTCTGATGACACAAGGTCAGGCGAGTATGGTGGGTGTGGCAACACATCCCATCCAAGCTCCAATCGTTTTTGACGGATGATCAGACTTGTGTGTGGTCTCACGTTATCACGATTGAACACAACTCCTTTACATTTAACAAGCTCTGGACTTTTCAAGATGACTGATTCATTCAAACTGTCCAATTGCCGACAGTACACATTTGAATTGATTGTTTGGTTCCTTGGTAGAAGCTCGAAAAACACAACACCTTTAAAATCCCACCACACTGAAAGCATAACCTTCCTCTGATGAATGTCTGCTTTCGATGTCATTTGAGGTGAATCATCATGTTGGGACCAAGACCGTTTGCGCACCACATTGTTGAAAACAATCCACTTCTCATCACCAGTTATCAGTCGCTTCAAAAAAGGATCGTTTTTCTCACGTTTAATGAACATATCGCAGAGGTTTATGCACGTTGTCAAATGAACTTCTTTGAGTTCATACGGAACCCAAATATCGAGCTTGCTTACGTATCCCAGCTTCTTCAGGTGTTCGTGAACGCTTGAATGATGGATGTTCAATGTTTCTGCAATCTCTCGTGTAACATGGGTTTGACTCTATCAATGCCTTTATTTTGTCGTCATCAACCTCAGTGGGCCTCCCTGACTGAGGAGCGTCGTTGAGATCAAAATGACCAGCATGGAATTTTGTGAACCATTGTTGGCACTGACGTTCTTGTAGAGCATTGTCACCGCAAACTTTATGCAACTTTTCACAAGCTTGACACGCGTTCTTCCCTTTATGGAAGTAAAACAGTAAAACATGGCAAAAATGCACAGTTTGGTCTTCAATCTTCAATTTGTAAAATCTCCAAAACTCAACCAAATTGCTCATTTTTTTTTAGAATGAAGCTAGAACTGTCAGCTGTCAAATGACATAGCAATAACATACACGCGCACACACACAGTTTATTTTATATATGT